GGCATTCCAATCAAGGGTACATCAAAAACATAAAAAGGGCATCCTACTGTTAAGTAGGCAGAAGACACACCATCTTCCACCTGGCTCTTCCTCCTGATCATGTCCTAATGAAACCTAATAGTGCGCGGCTGAGTTGGTCTAGAGCATAACCTAAATCATAGACCCTGAGGTCATCTGTGAGATGATTGTTGGCCACTGGTTAATGATCCAAACTTTCTTTTTTTTTTTTAGGGTGTTTGCTCTGACCTTGCATACTTGCTCACTTTTTAAATTCAGCATTCACAGCTCCAGCATCCATATCTGAGGGCACCGGAGGGGGGAGGAAATCCGGCTGCTCCGTGTATTCACATTCACGGCGATTGAGATTTAGAGAAAACAAGAGCAAGATGTGATGCATGTGTAGGGTTCTGACTCCCTGTTAGGCCCTCTGGGTAAGGCGTGATCAGAACCTCTGCCTGCTCTCCCTCTCAGATGATCTGGAGCTGCACATCCTGCTTAAACCCAACATGCACATAACCCCCTCCTGATGGAGGAGGAGGCCGCTCTTCGGCTCTTTCTCTGGACGGCTGTTTAAAGCGTGTCGGTGGCAGCTCACACTGCGTCCAGTATGGCCCGGCCGCTGGACAGACCGCTGGATTTACGGCTCCGTTGTGGAAGCGGGGCTTGTTTTCTGGTGCTGTTTTTTCTGGGGGCCCCTACATAAACGGAGGCCGGAGCCGGAGCCCCAGGAGGAGCTGTTGACGTTGTGGGGGTCAGGGGATGAAACGGGCCATGAGAGAGCACCCAACTCCCAACGTCCAGGACCCCCTCCCCCCCCCCCCACACACAGCTGTTTTTGGGATTAGGCTTGGAGCCCCCACCCTGGGTCCTCCCTGGAGCTCTCACCCCTCCTCTCTCTCTCTCTCTGTGCTTGACTGATGGCCAGATGACATCCACACATGTCTGTCTGCTGTCCATCCATCCAACGCCCCCCCCCCCCCCCCCCCCCCCCCCCCCCCCCCCC